TCGGAAGACTACAGGGAATTAGAGTCCATCCTGAAACCTCATTTCAAACCCTAGGTTGCTTCGATATTATTTTCTGCTTTCTTTTTTCTGTTCAAAGCATGTGAACTAGAAATTTATGTGGTTAGGACTGATTCAAAATTAACATGTGGGATAGAGATCATGTCCGAGTATGAATAATAAGTATGTGGGGTAGATATCATGTGGGATATGATATTTCATTTTCATTATTGTTTTGATTTACCTCACTAACTCTTTCATTTTAATTTTCATAATTTGCATCATTAAAAAAAGATGTTGATCCACCAAAAACGTGTTGTTAAAAGTAAATAATCTATATTAATAGACAAATGGGTTATAATACAAGAGATGAAGAGCTCAGGAGTCCGACTATGGTCAGAAAATACTCAGAATGGACCGGGATTTACACTGAGCACGCCAAAGGTCAACTATTTAAGCTAGAAAAGGTTGCAGGGAAGATGAGAAAAAGGGTATTGACCTAGAGAGTCCCTTCAAAGACAACAGGCCATTGTTGACAAATCAAAGAAGTAAACAAGTGAGTTTTAGATAATTCCCCTCAATGGAGGCTTCCAAAGGCGCTTTCATTGAAGGCAGACTCAGCAGAACTAGAGATGCAGTCATTCAACAGCTCGTCACCTGCACAGTTTAGCCAGAGGAGTCAGAACGGTTCGAAAGGGTAGTCAACCGATGACAGGAAAGGCTGAAGACGAATCAACCAATCCAAAGTTGTACGGGGTCTATACCTTTAAAATGTTTTTTGTCTCCTAAAACGTAACACTTTTGTCCTCAATAAGGATTATTTATAATAACAGACACATTTTAAGATCAATGCCTTGAACATTGTATGTATTATGCATTTAAACATATTTTGCATTTTGTTATTTTCATTTCTTTACATTCGCATTAACTAACAAAAGAATGTCTCCTGATAAAAAGGAACAAATAGGGGATATACCACCTCAAGCATTTGAGACGCCCCATCCGCATAACACCCGCTCAAAAAAGAAGAAGATGAAAGCCAGAATTGCTCAGATCGAGGGGAACATGTTGATGCTCCAGAGAGAGTTGGAAGACAAGATGAACCAGAGCAGTCAAAGCACTCTGGATACAATCACAAAGAGCCAAGAGTCCTTGGTTGATCAAATTGTGGCCAAGTTATCTGGTCTACATCAAACGAGTGCACCTGGGGTAGGTTCAACGGAAGGGGTAACTATACCACCTACCCCACAAATGGTTGTCTCACCTAGAATCTTACTATAATTTCAAGGGGAATCATCTGCTGTAAAAGAGAAGGCCTCGTCTACTACAAATATTTAGAATGTTGTATCAAACCCTGAGAACAATCTGGGTTATTATCATATACCAGATTTGGACGAAGAGGACAAATCAAAGAAGATGGAAGAGAAAATCAAGCAATTGGAGAACCAAATGAAGGTAGTTAAAGGAGACCATGATTATCATGGAGTCGATACCACGAAACTCAGTCTAGTCCCGGACTTAGTTCTTCCTCCGAAAATTTAAGTCCCCGGAATTCGAGAAGTTTGATGGAAATAACTGCCCATCCGCTCACATTACCATGTTCTGCCGAAAAATGACAGGATATGGAGGAAACGACCAACTCCTGATCACTTCTTCCAGGAGAGTCTGTCAGCTCAGTCATCCTATGGTACAATCAGCAAAGCCAATCCCATATCAAAACTTGGAAAGATTTAGTGAAGTTATTTCTGGAACAATACAAGCATGTCAACGATATGAGGTCAGATCGCGTTATGCTACAAAGTATGAAAAAGAAGCATAATGAGAGTTTCAGGCAATACACACAGAAATGGAGGGATTTGGCTATACAAGTTCATCCGCCCTTGGATGAGAATTAACTCGGAAGCTTTTTGTACATACCCTGAAGGCTCCATACTTCAGACACCTGGTTGCAATTACATCATGAAGTTTTTCAAAAAATGATCGAGTCGGCCATAAAGCAAGGTAAGATTAAAGATGGGGATGATAATAAAAAACCTCTTATGAGGGAGAGGGTGGAGAGATTAACAACATCAACCACGTTAGTAAAGGTATTACAATCTCTACCCTAAATCAACTGCAGGTGTACCGTCATGTACTTCTAAACAAGATTCCAGATAACCCAGAAATGAAAGGGAACATTTCGACCCTATTCCCATGACCTACAAAAGCATTACCAGAAACTTCTTGACACCCACGTAGTGTCACCATATCTGGTGGAACCCATGAAGCCCCCATACCCCAAGTGGTATGATGAGAATGCTCATTGTGAATATCACGACAGTGTCCCAGGGCACACTATTGAGAACTGTTACGCATTCAATAGAATTGTGCAGAAGATGCGTAACCAGAATTGGATCGACTTCAACAACTTGGGGGCATCCAAGTGAGGAAGATCATTTCATCATTTGAGGCATTTTGTTTGAATTTGTTTTTTTTTTCTTCTTAAGTTTTTGTAAGGACATTTAAATAAATTTATGTTACTTTAAAGATGATGAGCAACAAATCAAATTTGCAAACTTGCAATTCTTTAAATATTAACTGAATTAAAAAAAATCTGTAAATGATTCAGAGTTACAGATCTTTGACAAAGTAACACGATTAAAAAGTGATAAAACAAGGACTTTGACCTTACCCCGAAAGATACGCTCGAACACCATATCTTTCTCTTACAATAACTGATATAGCCTTCTCATCTCATAAAAGAATGAAAAGAGGCTTGGTATTTAGATGTGCATAGGTACGGACAACATGGGACATCTTTTGCATATGACATTACTATACTTTTTGTTTAAGACGTTCAATGATGATGATGATCTTTACAAATAGAATAGTCGAGTAGATGAATCCAGTTTATGTCAGTTGCTTGGAAATTGAACTCTAAAGATGAATTTTTTTACTTCAACAAGCACCTAGACTATACGAGGTTCATCTTAACAATCTTAAGAAATTAAATCCGTAAAAGCTGAGCTACTCCACTAAGGCAATTGGTTATAGAGGAAACTCAAAAGCCTGGCTTTATGAATAAATTGCATTCAAACCATGACATTGCTCGGACACTTGGCAACTCGGTGTTTGCTCCACTGCTATTGTTATTATTTTTTGATTATTTTTAAAATTTAGCATTTTTTTGTTATTTATTTTTATTATTTTTTTCTATTTAATATTTTACATTTTTTATTTATTTTTTAATTTTATTTATCTTTATTTATTTTATTATTATTATTATTCTTTTTCTTCTTTTTTATTACTTCTTTTTCATAATCATTTTATTATCTCTTTTAATATTTTTACTTATTTTATTATTTTTTTAAAAAAAAACTTTTTTAACCCCTTTTTTTTCCTTTTATTTGATATTTCTTTATTATTTTCATTTTTCAATTTAACATTATTTTTATCTTTTTAAGTAATAATCTCAATAGATCAAAGGTAAGTAATTCGAATCGAATATTTTAAATTTTAATTTTCATACTTAAAGACAACCTACAAATTAATTGTTAATGAAAGGGCGGTTCAAGGGTGCTAATAATCCTTCCTTGACTGTAACATACTCCCAAACCTGAAACATTTCTGATGAAACGCAGATCAAGTAAGATGGTATTCGATCTACCTAAATATCATTTTAAAATGATCGGTGACGACTCTAACCCACTCATTTCAGGTCACAGCCCAATTTCGGGCCCATCCGAAATACAGTCGCGACACTTATAGTTTTTCCTTTTGTGATTTGCAGTTGAAACGATACTTGAACTCCATGCCAATAGGAATTTCAACTTGGAAATCACAAGCTAAAGAGAACAACAGTTTTACATCAACTTGTACATGTGAAAATAGGTCCGTTTAATTCTAAAAAATATATATTCTATTTTTATTTTTATTTTCTTAGAAAATAAAAATATTAAAAAAATATTTTTGGTTGTAAAATTAGAAAATAACTTTTGAGAAATAAAAATAAGTAACATAAAAAAGAAGTTTTAGTATTTTCATTAAAATTATTTTATAAATTTTAAAAATAGAAAAACACATGATCTTGATCTTTAACTTGTACGAATTTAAATCCTTTTAACAATAATTTTTTACTTAATGGTATCTAAAATCCTCAAATTTTTGTAAAAAAATCAATATGGTCACAAAACTTTTTTACACTCAATTTGGTCATTAAACTAATTTTTTTAATAATTTGATTGTTTAGTATTTTTATATTAAATATATTAAATATTTTAATAATTTTTTATATTTTATATTTTAAATTTAAATATTTTTTTTAGTTTTTCTAAAAAAATTAATTGAGTCCTTAAATTTTCTAAAAGAAGCAATTGGTCATCGAACTTAGCAAAAAAAATTAATTAAGTCTATCTACCACATCATCATCCATCATGTACTATTACAATAACATTGTGAACTATCACATCAATATTATATTTTTCATATAAGTTTTGTGAATTGTCATGTAAGCATTGTGGTGGTCAACATTTGATTCCGTTAACTAAAGGGTTAAATTAATTATCTTTTCTCAATTTAAGGGTCACGTTCAACGTAAAAAAAATTCAAGAGTTACACTAATTTTTTACAAACGTTTGAGGGTTTTAAATATCACTAAAAATATTTTTTATTTTAAGGATATTTTGATGTGCTCTTGTCTACAACAATTTTTTTTTTCATATTTTTAACTTTTGAAAACTTACTTGATATCAATACGCATCAACATTATATTCTTATTATAAACTAAAATATTTTGTGTTATAGATATTCTCATCAACTTTATTGTTTTCTATGTACATAACTATGTACATATTTTAAAAATATAATTATTTAATAACTATGTGTTCATCTCTATTTTTAAAAAAAATAGATATCAAATATATTTTTATTATTTTTATTCTAATCTTAAAAAACGGAAAATGAAAACTACTTTCTGAAAATAAAAACAGAAAAGAAAATATTTTCTAGAACAAAAAGGGGTCTAAGATTTTATGTTGCTGAGAAAAAGGTAATTCAAAATCTTAAAAAAAATATGACAAATTTTAAGCCTGTATCTGCTTGACCCATGGAACATCATGTTACAAAAGTTTTCAAATGGATTTCATGAAATGCTGACGAATTAGTTCAGGCACTAGATTCACAACACGGCTGCCAGCACAAGACTGCGTCTCGCGCGTCATGACCATCGCTTTTGGCATAGTTTAGAGATAGTTAGATCTGCACCTCCGAACCCATCCATTATAGCATTGGCTGTAGGGAACTCTGCTCTGGATGTGAAACTACAAAAGAATAGACAAACAGTGAGTTGCATCACAAAGTGTACAAGTTCCAGAAGTAAGCCTCTACCTGCTCCGCAACACAACACAGGGCATGCCTATCTGCTCGGCTGCAGCAAGTCCAGATTTGCTTCCTGCGATAAGGACACAATTGCAGACAGGAACCTCAGCAATTTCTGCTCCTGCACGAAGTGCAACTACAATCTTCTCCAAGCTGGATACCAGGAATAAACAAGTAATTCAATCGAAGATGCGCGTGGAGCACAGAATTAAGAGCTTTCCAAACAGGTAAAGCAAAAGGTTAGATGACTTTAGAGCTGCCATTTTCCTTTTTCACTATGCTAGAAAACGAAATCTAAAGAACGAAAAGAGAGTCGGACCTTTCAGATGAGGTGGTATCAATGTTAACACTCACTTTCAGCATGGATGCAACCTCCTCCGCTATTCTTTGTTTCTCAGCCAAAGCTGGCCACAAAGCAAGAACAAGACCTTTTAATAACAGCCAGCTGGACCGAAACAATGCACTTCGAATCTTTCGCCAAACACAAGGACTGAGAATATATACCTGATTTTCTTTCTTCCTTAGCTAGTTGTTCATCCAAAGAAGAAGACACTCCTTTACCAAACACGAGTTGACCATATAAACTCTTTTCTACTTCCTCATTCCCCACAACTTTAATTTTCGTAAGTCGTTCATCACCAAGCTTTTCAACTATAGATCTGTTATTTTGTTTTGTAATACGAACAGAAAAGGGAAACATTAGCACACTTCCATGCATAAAAAGGATTACATTGCATTAGATGAACTATCATGTGGCTTGTCATTGAAATTTTCTCTTAGATGGTGCTGCTGTATAATGAACTGGAACATGCTTAACCAACATGATATCGAAGAGAAGAGGGAGGCAAATCGGAACAGAATTACATCCCTTATATACCAGAAACATCCACGGCATAGCATTGGTGATCACTAGAACATACCGAGCAATTTTATCCCCATCTTTGCTGTAAGATGTTAAGATGACCACAGGTATTCCTTTGTTACATGCATCATCAATAAACCTGCAAAAACACATTCAGTAAAACAAGAATTAAGGGATTGGTTCCGAGAAGGAAAAGTAAGGTTCTGGAATGAACAAAACTCAAAGAAAGGCAACATACTCCTCAACTCCAGGTTGTAGAGGTAAACTTTTCAGTACGAGTTCTTCCAGTGCATTTTTCTGCCAATAACAAGATAATACATCAGCTCAAGCTATAAGCACAGGATAAACACGATGGCAAGAAAAAGCTAACACAATGACAAGCAAGATTGTGTGGTAAAGAAAGAAGTTGAGATTGTATAACAGGGTAACAGAAGAACTACACCCATGAAAATTCATATTTTCTTTATTAAGATCCGACTCTATGATGTTTGAACTCTTCATTTTGCTCTAAGTATCCAGTTTTGACACCGACATCCAACAAATATCTAGACATGTTATAGTGATGAGACCACTAAATGTCGTCCAAATACATGAAAAACCTTAAAAAATCGAACAAAATCATACATAACTCGTACCACACCCGACACTCACACCTTGGAGTAACATAGATTTGAGTTACCTTCTCTCGCAGGACACTTCTCACAAACGAGTCCTTCTCACTTGTAGGCAATGATGTAGGCCAACCAATCTGCCAGATTAGAGCACACGATCAATGCGATGACATGCAAACACACAATGCTAACGTCTAAAGTGATCTAAGGCTTTCAACGACAAGAACGTACACGATTAAAGTATAGGACCAACATCTTTTCTTCATTACTAGCACTTCTCCTGGAAAGTAATCACAAAATACATTTCAAATAGATTTATAATTTCAATCAAGATAATAAAAAAGAGCGGGACAACCCCAGCTGAAATTTCACCTTACAAGATCCAAATACACAGGCTCAGTCCAGTTTGCACAATCAAGGCCGAGCTTTTGAAATGCTGGTAGGTATTCGAATAATGAACAGTAAATTAATAAACATATGATTAGCAGATAATCATGAAGATTAATCATTGAAGTATTAACTTTAGATCCTTTTTGCGCAATAGACATATGATCACACTTCATCTGCCGCACCTAAATTGAAGGCCTGCCGATTACCCGCCTGATATGCATCCATAAGAACCCTGAAACAATTATAAATAAATATATAAAAACTGAATCCAACTAGGAACTGAAACATTAAACCTCAGTACCCACCAAAATTTACGGTAACAAAATAAAGAATACTTAATTAAAAATAAAACACAAAGAGAACTACAGTGAAACCAAAAGGTAGCATTATAAATATGATTTACCCATCAACTTCGAGAAGAACAGCCAGTTCCTGAGATGGGTTATGGTTTTGGCTACTAGAGGATGAGCTGAAAGCAGTGAAGTCATTGAATTGCAGGTTTTTTCCGTGGGAGTTAAAGTTTCTCGGGAAAGTAGAGGAAAACGAAGGAATTGAACAGATATTGCTCTTAGGAGGCAGACAATGATTGTTGTTAATAGTTGAATTAAGGGTGTTTCTTGAAAAGCCGAGTGTGTAAAGGATTGAACAAGAAGCGGTTTCCATGACCGGAATTCTGCCAAAGATTTTTTTATTTTTATTTTCAGAGAGTAGGTGACTGGCTGCCAAAGAGTCCGTTTCTGGCTCACTCAATGTGGGGTTTTCTTCGAGGCTTAATACTAAAAATAAGTGCCTAATTATATTTTTTATTTAAATTATTTTTTAATTCATTTTGGTGTTAATATTTTTTTTCGTTACTATTTTAAGTTTTTGTATTAACCGTTATTAAAAAATCACGTTAAATTATATGCGTCGATAATTTTAAAAAAATTTATTTAAAATAAAAAATATAATCTTTTTGAAAAAATATTTTTTTTAAATCTTAAAAAAATCTAAAACTTTTAAAATCTTAGTTTTAATACATTTACCACCGCCAATCATCATCAATATCGTCAATTGGCTAACACTTAAAAACATGTGTGACCAACCACCCATGAACAAAACTCTTGTACTTTCGTAACTAATTGAACATCAAATATCCTAAATTTATAAATTCCTAAACATAAATCCTTAAACATAATACTCAAATCATAACCATAATCCCAAATTTATTATTAAACTCAACCCAAAATATAATTAATTGAAGCATGAGGATGACGGGGAAGTGAAGGGGAGTTGAAATGCGACGGAGTTGGAGTGGGGTTGAAATTCTACAGTTTTTTAATTTAAAAAATATTTTAAAAAGATAAATTTTTAAAATTATTTAAGAATATAATAGGTCATTTAACAGAGTTTTTAACGATAATTAATGTTCGAATATTTAAAATAGTAACGAATAAAATAATAGACATTTAAAATAATAATAGAAAAATTTAGACATTAATAGGGTCTAATCAGTCGATTAGGTTAATAGAAACTTTCAAAAATTCATTAACCAAAAAAAAATGTTGGCTTTTCTCAAGGTAACTTACTATTTCACCCTTGTCCGCCTTTTTCATTTTCTTTTGGGGTCCAGAACTATGCACGTTAGCCGACTCATGAAAATTGATTAATTGGCGGGGCAGTTTTTTTTATCCCGACTAGAAAATTAAAGTTTTTTTATTTTAATCTAATCCAACATTTAATGTATTTTATCTATCTTAAATCCATTATAAATTTTAAAATTAAGCTAGTTTAAATTTTTTTAATTCAATGAAATGAAAAAAAAGAAATAAAATACATATATAAAAATATACTATATTAATATATTACTCGTTATAGTATTTATTCCAAAGTTGAAATATTTTACCAAAAACATCCAGCCTCAACTCTTTCCTTTCACAAAATTCGTTCTCTAATTTAATTTTATAAAATTATATCAAATTAAAACTCTTAAGTCTAATTTAATTCCAAGATTCTAATTTGATTATTCCCTTGATATACATATTCTGGTGAGATAAGTAGAAGCATAAACACAACAATGCCAAGAGGTAGCTTAAGAATATTTGTTGGGAATCTGCAGTAGATTGATTGTGCGTTAGGGATCAAAAACATTTTAGATGATATCAAAGTTTAGTTGACGTGAATGTCACACCAAAACAACGTTTTGATCGCGTTATTTTAATGTCCAAAACGATGTTCTCTACCCTTTAAATTAATATTGTATCTATAAATTATATTTTACACTTTGCTCATCTCATTCAAATTAAATAAGAAAGATACACTAAAAGCAAAAGAGGCCTACAAAATTGACGTTACCCGCCATCGTCCAAGATATCCCCATTCTTCCTCTTTGATAATCTAGCTGGATTTTGATACCCATTTTCTTCATTGGTGAATTGTGCAGCTGTTCGGGCCGTAACTCTTCTAGACTCTCGCCTTCTTTTGCTCTTTCTAGCACCTAAAATTCATAGACGGCATTTATGTTGTCATAGCTGAGACGTGAATAAGCAAGGCTGTTAAAGACGGGATATGACTTACCAGATGACGACCGTAAAGATGGGTGCTTGAAAGTGTTTGAAGGGCATTTTGAGCCTCTTGCTTAGTTACAAACGCAAACCTCTATGGTTTCCATACTTCATTGGTAGCCTTAAGCTCTTGATCTGAACAGCCGGAAGGAAAAGTCGGAACAATCAGAGGAACATAAAACATTCAGTATCCAGAAAGCAACAGCAATACCAAGTTTCTGTTTTAAAGAAATCAACATAAGGCTGGATCAAATTCCTCAAGCTTCATCCCCCTAAGTTATTTACTACGCAAGTTTCCAAAAGAAACTCCAAACAATGTGGACTACTAGTATACACTCTAGCCTCTTGCTCTATACACTATATAGTTAAAAAATATTACAGCACTAGCGTATATAAAAAATATAATGGTGACAACTATTGTTTGTTAAGTAATGGAGGAGGATGTAGTCCTTAATCTTATGTAAATTTATAAACTATTCTAAACCATGTACAGATTTACAAACAAAATAAAAAAATACCTGGCCGAATGGGCTAAATAACTGTCTTAGATCCTTTTCTGTGGCTTCGAAAGCTACATTTCGTACAAGTAACTTTGTTGAACTCTTATCTTTCTCAACGTTTTTCACTGCTTGTTCTTTTTTGGCATGACAAAGTTGCAAGATAAGAGCATGCCCATCCAAAATAGTCCCCTAAAAGAAAGAAAGAAAGGTATCAAAAAAGGGGCTGAAACTATGGTTTTTGAACCTGCTGATCTTGATTGTAAATACCTGCAAGTCTCTGCAAACATTTGATGCAGTCTCTACTGAATCGAACTCGATAAAACCATAACCCATTGAGACTTGCTTTCCATTCTTCATGTGCTTTTTCACCTGCCAAAGAAAACACCAAACCCACAAGGGTCAGAAGCACAAATATTGACTGTGATTCAGACAGCGTCCAAAATACCCAAATAATTATCCTGATGCTCTTTATTCTTCCTTCCTTTACAAGTTCAGTGACATGATTCTTCAAGCTCTCTTCGGTAGTCTTGAAATTAAGGTTCTTGAAAAATAGAGATCGTGAAAGCAATATCAAAGCGATGATAAGTAATCAAAGCAAATAATTTATCACATCAGAGAAAGAGAAGTGGAGAAAGGAAAGAGAAAACTCATATCATATGCTGAACCTCAATTCTGTCAGGATCAATGTCCACATCCGAGATTCCTTCCACCTGTTGCTCTAGAATTGATCTCTTTACATCATGTTCACCAACAGCTGCATCATTCTTTTTGTCACCCACAGACGCTGAACTCTTATTAAGAACATTGTCAGGAGCCCACTCCAAGTATAAAGGAACATCCCTACATTAATGGAAAACACACCAGTCGGGTTCCATGAATAGTAATTCCAGCTTACTTGAAGGTTAAAAAATATAAGAGCCACTATAGTGCCTAAAAAACATATATTATGTCATCCTCAGGTTAACAACCACCAATAGGGCTGTAAATACTCGAGCTCAACTCTACTCAAAAACTAGCGAGCCTAAATTTTCAAGATTGATTCGAACTCGAAACCATTAACTAAAGCTCGTAAAAGCTTGAAACGGAAAAAAAATTCTTAAACTTAACTCAATTGAAACATCAAACTCGAATCTAAACCTTAAATACATGAAAACCTTATACTGCATTTTAAAAAACATTAACACATAAATGTTAATATTATTAATAATTTTTTTTTAAATCTTAATATATTATATATTTTCAAGTAGCTCGCGAGCTTTTCGAGTCAAGTATCAAGTAGCTAGTTTCGGCTCGTTAAGAACTTGAGTCAAGCTCAAGCTCAAGTCAAGTATTTGTCGAGCTTTGATCGAGTCGATCTCGAGTAGCTCACGATCTGTCTTGTCTCATTTACAGCCCTAACCACCAAGTTTAAGCAAGTAGCCAAATACAGCTAAAATTAAACACATTAGCGTACTCCTGGAGACAATTTGAAAATTAATTAACGAGTCACCAAAGAAAATTGTTCTAAATTGCAGTAAGAGGGTTAAACTAATGTCTAAAAGAGGAGGAAATCTCACTTATAACGATTGTATGCTAAACCCTTAAATGCTGCACGAGCTTCACCTGGTTCTAGGAAAACAACCTGAAATATCATGCACCAATCATCAATAAAGGATAAAACAGTGGCACGCCATGCAACAGCAGCATACCGGGAAATTAAATTTGTCACTTCAAATGTATAAGCCTGAACCAAAAATCTATATAAAAATTATAATTAGAACATACATGCATACCAGGGCCAAAGTTTTGTTGGAGGGAGAATGATCATGTCCAAGCTCCCAAGCTTTCCAAACATCTTAGCTAGTTCACCTTCCGATGAACCATATGGCAAGTTCTTTACTAACAGAACATGATTACTCCTTTTTCTGCCATCCATTTTACCAGCAGCAATCTCCTCCAAAGAAGAGATATTTACTCCAGAATTTGTAAGGGAATTTTGGTTTCTGATATCACTTGAGTTTCCCCCAAAGCAATACGCACAGCTAGATCATCTGCTTCTCAATCAAGTAACTCACTCTTACACCATATTTCCTAGCAATGTTTTCAACAACCTATTAACACAAGAAAATTAAAGAGAGGTCAATGATACAATAACAATATAATTGAGACATAAGAGCACTTCACTAAAGCATAGCCAATGATGAAAGTAAGACTACTATAATCAGTGTCAAAAACATGATAAGAGAAAGAGAGATTGTTAGTTCAGTAAAACAATTTCATATCCCTTGGTAAGATTTCAGTATAGTTAATAACTGAAGTGTGTGAAAAGCAGTACAAGATCAGTAACGATCTTTCGCAAATGACAACATTTTCACGTCAATGGCAAAATCTAGAACATCCTTTAGGTTCAGTTAACATAAGAAACTGTCAAGGATTAATTTCACTAAAAAGGGAAAAAATTCTGTGACATTCAATATAACATACTGTATCAGGCGCATGAAAAGACTATTCCTTGCTCTTGTATCTCCACTAGCTTCAGATGCCTTCCTTTCTTCTTCCCTCTTTTGCTTGAAACTTTTTGAACCTTGGTTAGCTGAATCATCGATCCTAAGAGAAAGAAGTATTGGATAAATGACCATTATATCTGGGAAGCAATGATAATTTAAAACCTAGAAGACTATAGAGAATAGAGATTGATTTTTACTGATAATGCT